TCAAGATCCAGAGCAGCTTTTGTACTGGTGCAGAATCTTCCTGTGGAAATACCTTTTGTTAAAAGATAAGGTTAGATCAAGGGAAGGGTTTCTTTGCATGGAGATAATATCGGTAGAATGAATTGTGTGCAAATATAGCACATACTGAATTCACAACAGTTCACATTGCTTAGCATCTGTCTTGATGTTTTCAGGTTCAGGTAAGCAGGACAAACACCTAGGTGCTGATCCAGATGTTCACCATTTTAGTCACGCATCCTGTACTTAAGCTCATAGGTACCAGTGAAGAGGCAATACACCTAGCCCTCTGCTAGCAAATATGTAAATGGCTCTATAGACACCTCCTTTGCAAATCACTGTGAGTAAAATATCTAATATATAACTATTTTTCCACTCCCAGATAATTGCTTTACCTCATCTACAGTAACATCAGAATTTTCTTCTGAGTTGGGTTAGGTTACAATTCTTAATACCTCAACCCTGGTTTTGAGAAAGGTGGGTCCTGACTGTCGTCTTTCCTGATTTCAGGTGAAATATGATTTTGGGTTTTACGGTGATTGTCTTGTTTATGGCTAAGTTATAGCAGGATGTGGAACTGTCAGCCTTCAGGTGTCTTCCATGCATATTGGACTATAGTTTTCATAATTCCTAATCAGCATAGGAGTGGGAAACTGGCTGGAAATTACATGAATTGTAATCCAGCCTATTGGGGGGGGAGAGTATTAGGTTGGGTGAGGCAAACAGTAATTCATGTTTTTTTTGTTTCAGTACCAAAGATCTGGCAAAGCATATTATCCTCTACGGTATTAGATGAGGTCTTGAATGTTTTGATCTGGTAGTGAGAAAAAGAATGCAACCCAGGTTTTCATTTGGTTGGTACCAGAAATTAACTTGCTGCTCTCGAACTAGCAGTGTCTTCTGGTGTTGCAAAAGCCTACAGTCCAGAGTTTCTCTCCATGTATTGACACAATGGAAATAACTGAACTGGCCAAGTCTACAGTATTAATGTGCATTGTGTTTGGAGCCAAGTTCTAGAATGGTGCCACAGTTCTTGGTTGCTATGGAGACAAATCTGCGAAAAGACATGAGTACAAAATAAAATGTTAAACTGAGACCCCAAGCAGGAATTTTCTTATTTTTTTATCTCTCTCTCTTTTTGTAATGTACCTATGGAGATAGGTGAATGTCTCATGGGTGTGACTGTGAGAAAAGCCTACCAAGGCTCCACTATAAAAAAAAATGAGGATAAAATTTCTTTGCTCCTACCACAGCCAAGCAATCAGCAATAGTCTTTGATAGCAGTGAAGATAAAAGCGTCACAAAAGCCATTAAGGCAGCTGGGAAAGCCTTTGCACACCCCCCCCATGCTAATAAGGATTATATGGCTGTCGCTAAATCTAGTTAACCATGATGCTCTTTGTTCCTGCATCAGTTACTATCTAGCAAGAAAATGCAATCCTAGCATATTTATAAGAGGTTCCTAGGGTGTTCATGGGCCAAAGTGATTGTGTTCACACAGCATGTTTAATGTCATCCCATTTGACAGGTTTGTGCAATGAGCTAACCAAATATGTGGGGTTTGTACAAGACATTAAGCTACCAAAAGGAACCAAGTTTAACCTTAACTGTGTACAAATACAACTGCTCAATTGTGTAGCATGAACTCAATTCAATTGTGTGGCATGAACATAGCCACTGAGTTCAAAGAAAGGCCAAGGAAATCGGAATATCAGTAGCTCACTCTGCTATGGACAGGCCCAAAGTTTTGGGTGGACTAGATTCAGTGTAAAAAGTAATCATCATTGAATTGTAACTGGAAGCTTTTTCATGTACATGTGAGTGGATATAAAAACACCAGTTCATATTCAGACAAAATTGAGGTAATCAAAAGACTCCCTTCCTTCCTTCCTTCCTTCCTTCCTTCCTTCCTTCCTTCCTTCCTTCCTTCCTTCCTTCCTTCCTTCCTTCCTTCCTACCTACCTACCTACCTACCTACCTACCTACCTAGATGAAAGGATTGGTGCACACTTGCAGGGAGCAGAATTTTTGCAAGAATTACATAGCTCATACTTCAGTCACCTCTCTTTTCCAGTCCAACCCTCACCCCAAATCTCCATTCCCATTCACTGTTGGGGCTTGCTGGCCGAGCTCTACTATTCATGTCATGCAACAGAAGGATTGAGGTAGGATTAAACCTATAAGCAAGTCCAGGCACTGCTCCTGAGCCGCCACCTTATGGCCCCCAAAAGCTCCCCTGATGATGACTCTTGAAAATTAGTGACATGTTTTCCTGCCATTCGGAGATAGGAAATGCACATAAAATTGTAGGGTAACCCTAAAACAACTCCCTAAACCCAATAATGACAAGAAAATCTCAATCTTGCCCATGCGTATAATATGGCACCACTCACTTTGCATCATGACCTTGCCCACGGCAGCTCTTGCCTGCCACAGAAAGTAAACTTCAGCATCCATCCTCCAAAAGATTTCCCCCCCCCCATTCAGTCCAGTGGTCTGGTGGCTGAGCATGATGGGAGTTGTCATCTAACACACCTGAAGGACACCAGGTTGGGAGAAACCTTTCTTAGAGTTCCATGCAAAATAAGAGGATGTCAAATGAGCTTAGTAATGGGATCTTTGTTCTCTTCCTGTCTCCATCCACAATAATAATAAAGGTCAAACTACTGAATTGTGCAGTCATAGTTTTCTATTGCTATATTGGGAATGGTGCCAGCTTCAATAGAAGGGGCCAAATTTTGCCCAAAGGATGAATCACTATGAATCACTAAATAAGGAGTGAAGCCATTACTGAGCATTTAAAACTCCCATATATTTGAATAAATGGTGATATAAGCATACTGGACCAAACTATTATTTCTTTGTACACTATCTATTTTACAGTAAGATTTCCTTTGACACTGAATGGTTGTCTCTGCACAATATGGCCAATCAAGTCATCCCATCCCAAAGGCAATTTAGCTATCTTTATACACAGGCAGTGCATGATCATAGTTGGCTGAAGTCATCCATCAGCCACATTATTAGTTTTCCCAGGTTCTACAAAAGTGCCTGGGAAGCTGAACTTCCAAGGTTTTTGTCCCCTTTCATCCATATAGCAGTGGGTAGAAGGATGAAAACAAAATAGGTACAGAGACAGAATAGCTCAAGAGGACCCATTTTAGCATCTCTCTAGGATGTCTCAATCATAGAAGATTAATAGGGTGGTTAATGTACTCTCATTAAATATTTAGATGATATGGCTGGTAGGAATAGTTACATTAGCTCCAAATGAACTCAGAGTTGTTTGGGTCTAAGAGTAACTCCCTTGGGAAATTGTCTGGGTTAGCTAGATTATGGAGTTCACATCCTCCCTATGACTCAGTTCAGAGTGTTGTGCAAACAGGATCAATAATGCAGATGAGCTCCCATACACCAGCATTTACAGTTTGCTCCTATAAATCAGAGGTGTCAACCTGTGGGCGCTTGTGGGCATTCTGAAAGGGCAAGATGTGGCCTTGGAGACCCTTTCATATTTCTCTGCAAACCTCCTACTTTTGCCCAACACTTCCACTCCCACTTTCAGCGGACAGCTTCAGATGCTACGGTGGCTGTGTAGATGCTCCACCTGTCAGCCTTGAATTTGGATGTGGTTTTCCACCTACCTATCTCCATTAGCACACCTGCTTCCCTGTCCCAAGCTGTGCTCATTTTCTTTCTTTCTGCTCCAGCCACTCCCTTCACTGTGCCTGACCTCCATACTACCCATTTAGTTTTTTCCCCTCTTCCTTGACCTGACTCATATCTTTTTCCCCCTTTCCTATGTGTGTATCTCTTCTATCTTGTTTCAGTTATTCTGAAAACATTTCTTTGTGTATGGGGGGTGGGGGGTAGGGGGTAGGGAATGTGTGTTTCAGAGAGAGAGAGAGAGAGAGAGAGAGAGAACTATCAAGGTAGACTCAGCAGTTCTTTCTCCAGTTCTTTTCCCTGTTGGATGGCAGAAATTACTCCAATTTTTTGTTGACTGGATTGCACATTGCATCCTGTTTGTAGTAGATTTGTGACTTTTCCAATGGCAGACTAGCTGACTGATAAATAATGGATAAACTAAATGATAAATAAATAAATAATAAACTAATGGAAAGTTTGGGTACGCCAGTAGAAACCTTCTAGCTTTCTCAGTACCTGGGGCTTGCAGCTTGAAGATCGTTAGGAGCAGGCAGGGGTGGAAATCATTGGGTGAAGGGTGGACTAGAGTTGCCTTACCTCCTTTCTAACACCCCAAATGTACATCCTTGGTTTCCATGTGTGTCTACATGTGCGGTGGAAGAAGAAGAGAGAAAAAAATGAATACCATGAATGCTATTTCCATGTTCTTCCTAAGGAAACTCTAGGTTTATATCCGTGTAGTTAATGCAAGGGCATCCTTCCTTTCAATGTTTACTGTTTAGTCACATGTTAAATTTTGATTAATATTAGTTTCATGTAATTTTTCACTGTGGCCCCACTCACTTTGAGAAACTAGCCCAGGTGCATCACTCAGTAGCCAGTGTGTCTATCTGCTTGCCTAAAGCTACACAGCCTTGCTGTACATGTCTGCTTAGAAGTACTGTATGCCCTACTGTCTTGCAGTGGGATTACTTCAAGATAGGCAGGTATTGGACTGCAACCTTAGTAACTGCTATTGTCTGCAGTCTCCACTCAGAACTGTACAACTTCCAGTATGTTTCCAAGTGAAAAAAGCTGCAGCCTGCATACTTTTTATTTTTTTTGGCACTTTGGTTGGCTCCGATAAAGACAACCGTGGTTTTGCGTTTTATCTCTAATGGGACAGCTAACCTTGTTTTTAAATCGGCAAACGCTGTCACTAAAAGGACGATGGAAAACATTTGGAACCGCAGAAAAGAAAATAGACGCTGGCGATCGACGCAATTACATATGTTTATTGAGAAGAGGTCAACATCTGTTTCCAGGGAAAAGCAGTTTTTGCATTCCGACAGCCCCTCTGTTCCCCTTACATTAGGACGGGTCTACTCACCAGCGAGTGAGGTCTTTCATAGGAGGAGAGAGGGGTGGAGACGTATTAGCTGAAGGGCCGCCCCCAGTTCTCTTCCCTCCGCACATTTGCTCCGAATATTATGACGTCACGGCGTTCTTTAAAAAGAACAGAGAAAACAATCAGCATTGAGAAAAATAGATGCCCTGCGATCTTGTTAAAAGCGGGAGCTGTAACCCGCAGTTAGATCGAGCTATATAAACAAACGCGAAGAATTACAGACAGAAGCCTCCTCAGCAAACATGGTGTCCCCGGTGACCGTGGTGAGTTCAGTCTGTTTTTTTTTTTTTGCAAGAATAAAAGGAAAAAAAAATCAGAAACATCAGGCGGAAAGCAGCTGCTGTATCTGCAAGGCGACTTTATGATCCCCGCAGGATTCTTTTTTTGATAGATAATACATAGAGTCACTATGCGGCAAGAAGCCTGGCTCCAACATGTTTGCTGTTAACTAGACTCGGGTTTTTTTCCTTCCAGTGTGTACTCGTTCTGTTTCCACCTCTTGCAGCTCCTTCTTTCTCTCCTCTCTCCACCCCCACCCCGCTTTGTTGGAAAGAAAATGCGGGCTGCCAAATGTTGCTTTTCTTAGCGTCCCCCCCCCGCAAAAAAAGCATATGAAAATTGGATCGGATGAAAACATTAAACACGTGACAAGGAAGCGTGACTTTGTTGATTTCATTCCTTGAGTCTCGCCGGTTATGGCTAGGCGAGAAGGAAGACGTTGAGGAGGAGGGGGAACGGAGGAAGAAAGAGGTTTTAGAGTTAATCTTCCTTTAATGTCTGCCTCCCCCGGCTTCCGAAGGGGATTCTCAAGAACTGCACTGATGTTTGGCTGCGTTGCTCGTCAGCCGGTTGCGTTTGCTCTGAGGCTGGCCTATGGGGTAGGACGTGAGCCCCACACACCGTAGATTCTCGATCTCGGGCTGATGCTGCCTTGCCGAAGACCGGGTAACCCCGGTGAGAGAAATCAGCAACAAAATGCGTTCTATTTTTACTTCCCTTTGTCCCCCCCCCACCTCATTAGATTAGCAAAACTACAAATGGGAGAGCACAAAGGTAAACAATTGCTCTTATCTGGGCAGAATAATGGGAATTAAGCAGATTTAAATTTAGGATGTGTCAGCTGTAATAGATACATGTGCTGAAGGAAAATACTTGCCAGCTGGTGTCAGTAGCATGAATCTAAAAGGACAGGAAAAACAAAGATTTATGACAGTTTTACAATTTATGAAGAAGACTTGAATTTAGTTCTGTGGTCAACCATGGAGCTCCTTGGATTCTGGTTTGCAGAACTATTAGAAGGATAATGTAGGCTTTCCTTACGAAATCTTTTCCAGACTTCCTGGAGGAAGAGAACAATAAACGCATGCCCTTTCTATCAGTGTGAATATGCAATGCAGAGTTTGGTCAACTTTATCACAGAATGGGGTGGAGAATTCCAAATGATATTACAACTCTGCAGATCATGAACTAACAGCAATAATAGGATAATTCACGATGGATGTCTTTTAAAAAGTTCCCTGTATTATGCTTTGATTGGGATTACCTTATTTATACCTTGGTTTTTTGCTATAGTGATTGCTCATGATCGCTAACAAAATTGAAAAAAAGGCACATACAAGCAGGATTTTAAAACATAAATCAATCCTATAATTAATACTAATGCCAATTAACAGTTGAAAGCTTGGTGAAAGAAAGGTGTGTTTGTGGGTTATCTAAATTAGTTATCATAAAATGCTGAGATGTGGGATCTAAAAGCCAAAAAACTCCATTCCATAGCTTGGAAGCATTGAAGGAGAAACCCTCATGCCAGAAGGACACTTCTGTAGATCCAACAGTTGGATAGGGCTGGTGTGTAACAGGAGAGAAATTCTCTTAGCCCTTAAGCAACTTAGGGCATTAAAGGTTAATTTCAGCACATAAAATATGCCTGGTATACAATTGGCAACCAGTTCAGGTTTTTCAGTGCAGGCACCATAGGCCCTTGAACCTGTTGCCAACCTTGCTGCCTCATATTGTATCAACTGTAGCTTCTGGATGCTTTTCAAGGGCAGTTCCAGGTACCACATATTGCAGTGGCCAAGATGATAAGGAACAGCTACAAAGTGCTGACTAAGTTATGCAGCAGTAGAGATACTGCCTGGGAATTCAGTCACCAAATCTTTTTGGAACTGTGAACCTGCTGTTTCAAGGAGAGCGTCACCCCATCTAAAACAAGCTGAAGCTCAGTTCCTATATTCATTTTTCTGATTATACCAGTTAATTGCAGTGGAGACTGGAAGCTAGGAGGAAAAAATGTAAAAGGTTCTCTTTTCAGTGCATTACTTTGTAAGTTCAAAGGCTGATCTTTGGGGTGACAAGTAGGTTATGGGCCTGAGACCTGGTAAACCTGCTTAGAGCTATCTTGCAAATTTTAGAAAATTTTTCCTCCCATAATGAAACAAACTTGTACCTGTTTGTCCTTGAGTATTGACAAGAACTGCAAAAAGCAAAAGCTAGTTTTCTCTCATGCAGAATTTTCCCCAGAGGATTGCATTACTGCAATCTGCATGTACAACATTACTGTACATTTTGCTTTTATTATTTGTCAGGAAATAAAGGGTCCCATGGTGTAGAATAGGGACCTCATCATTATATCTTGATCTATCTAACTATTGTCTACGCTGACTGGCAACAGATTTCCAGGGTTTCCAACTAGGATCTTTTTCAGACTTACCTGGAGAGGCTAAGAATGAAACCTAGAAATGTTGGCATGGAAAGCAGATGAGTTACAGCCCTTCAGTCCATCTGGGAAATATTTATGACCATCACGTAATAGTGAAGCCTGTAAGGAACATGTTTTATATTGGAAAATGGGGAAAATAAATGTATGTAGCCAGGATTTTGTGCATTGTTTTATTTTCACAGTGCTGATCAATCACTTTTTCATCAGTGAGTGTAATACAATGTTTATATTATTTCATTAAGAGCATTACTGTACTAGTATTCTTGGATCTGTTTATTTATTCCTGAACTGCAAATGTTGTGTCTGGTTGTACATTTAATTTTTTTAAAAAAATGCCTGATAGTGTCAGAATTCTGCCCCTTTTAGTTTTGGTAACCTATTAGATTGGGGAGTAGTTTCATCAAAATAAATAGATTTGATTTCAAGCAATTTATATGGTAAGACTACCCCTGTCTTTTTCAATGGGCAAACATGGATCTAGACTCAATTTTCATGCCTTGGCTAAAATCCTCAAGGTTGAAATCCAAGGAAACTGTTCAACAGTGTCTAATATAATTGCATGTGTGTGTGCCTTCGAATCAGTTTTTGATTCCTGGCAACTGCCTGGACTAGTCCCTGCAGTTTCCTTGGCAAGGCTTTTTAGAAGTGGTTTGCCATTGCCTTCTTCCTAGGGCTGAGAGAGAGTGACTGGCCCAAGGTCACCCAGTGGCTTTGTGCCTGAGGCGGGACTAGAATTCATGGTCTCCCGGTTTCTAGGTTAATGCCTTAACCACTACACCAAAATGGCTCTCCTAATATAATTAGTAAACTAAAAGAAGAAAAATAAATGAATGCTTAATTCAGATTAGACAGATGTGTTCTATCTTACTCAGTAGACAGACCAAGGGTTTGGGGGAGAGGAGAGAGCTATAAATCAATGTGATGAAGAGTCAGTTGTTTGCTTTTAGTTATATGCTAATCAGCTCCCTACCTCTTAGTCTACAAAGGTCTCTGCCACATCAAATAATCAAATACTTTTCTTGGCTTCTTTCAATTATTAATGCTGCTTAATGTAGCTTGCAGTCCACCCCTAGGCTTTGTTCTCTAGGTAACAAAGTCACAACAAAATTCTTTCCAATACATGGGAAGACACTATTTCTGAGTGGCCACATGCCGAGTTGTCTTACTATCAATGGCTGCTCTAGGAGAGAAGGAAGAACTTAATTCAGAAGGTAAAAGAAAGGGATATCTACAGCCTTGCTTAACACTGTGGTTTCATATATCAGGACTCTTCCCCCAGTCCTTAATTCATGGCATTGCTGCTACAGTAAATATTACCTCCTGCTCCACACAGTACATCTCTTTTTTTCTTTTTTTAAAGGCAGCATGTCAGGAAACTACTGTAGATAAGAAACACGGGCCTACTCCATAGGAGAGTCATGCATTACTCTTTTCTCCCCCTTCAGATGAACATACTAATACCGGTTATCTTGCAAGGGTGGAAAAATTTAGTGTCTCCCCATCACCATCCTGCTTTTCGCAACAAGTATATAACTGTAAGAGACCCAGTTTGGTCTAGTGGTTAATGTGCAGACATAGGAGTCTAGTCCTGCCTTAGACACAGAAGTCAACTGGGTGATTTTGGGCCAGTCACTCTCTCTCAGTTCTAAGAAGAAGATAATAGCAAACCACGTTTGAAAAATGTTGCCAAGAAAACTGCATGGAGCTGTCCATGTAATCATCAGAAGTCAAGATTGACATGATGCACATATACTGTAGATAATTATGATGGCATTACTATAACATAACATTTTAAAAAATGTTTAGAAACTCAGAAAAATCACCATATTTCAAAGAAATCTGTTAGAAATATTGCAAACACCACTCTTTATTGAGCTTAATGAGGAAATCATGCTTCATAAGCACAGCTAGAATATCCTCCTTGAGATATTTCAGAGAAAAGTTAAAGAGATATTTGCTAGAAATGTTTCTCATGCAAGACATGTCATCCCAGGGCAAGGGGATTGGGTTAGACTCATTCTTAAACTTTACTACCATATGCTCTGGGAGCTTTATTCCAGCTGTACGGAACAACTGTGCTTAACAACATTGCTCCTTAGTATTCCAGGCATATCTCACAAGCATTAACTCAGTCCTGTAAGGTAGACAAATAGAATAGATTGAGGTTGAAGCCAAGAAACAATGGAACTACGGAAGCTCTCATCCTCTTTATCCTGTTATTAGCTTATGATTGAAGTTGGCAGTGTGGGGGTAATGTACTGCCTACCAAGCTTCTTGCCCCACTTAACTATAACAATAAAATTCAAATTAACTTTAAAAGTGACATTAAAATTAATTGTTTTAATTAGAAACACACAAAAAGAAGCTCGATAGTGCAAACACAGTACAAGCTCCCCACACTAGGTGACTTGTGTGTGTGGGTGGGTGTAAATATATTTTCATTGATACTACAGAAGAAAAAGAATGATTAAGCCCATTGTTCCCTCCTTGTTAGGTTTGGCTTTTTTTCTTTTGATGATGCAAAGTGCAGTACCTAATTAC